TTTAAAACCTTTCCACACTCTTGCAATATTCTAAGCAAAGCTTATAAACTCTAAACGCTCTAAAAGAGCACAGAGTATCATGATTTCATGTCCCTGCTCCTGGCTGCACTCAGTCATCAGCAAGCGGTCTCGGCCACGCCCACTTCTCTGCTCTGCACAGAGAACAGCTGATCAGCTGCAGGCGGAAGCTGATCCTACAGTATGGGTTGTTCAAAGGTGCAGGAGGTGCTAGATAATTTAAAATAATTAATTTTAAATAAAATGTTATGCCGATTGTGCAGCTCATCCATCAATCAGCCAATTGTGTGTCATGTACAATCTTATTTTGAAAAACCGCGATAGAGCGAGTCCGTGAAAAACAAATCGCGAAGTAGTCAGGGACTACTGTACATGTTGGTGGCCATCTTGGATTTTGACTTGGCCACCCAACTTATATGTGCAGCCACACACCAGAATGGAAGTTGGTATTTCACTTAATTTTCAAGTTATCGTGTTCACAACGTTAATGAATAGACGGACAGACAAAGGGAAAGAAGGAGGGATGGATGGAGGTTATTTCTAATTCCTCATCTTCGTTCTGTGACAGGAGACCATTGAAGGCTTCTGTCACCAGCCACCATGTCCGAGTTTTACATTAAAATCTTTTATTTTATGAGAAACTACAGAGTTGAAGCTGTTCTGCTCAGATCTCCAAAATAAAGTGCAGCATTGTGAGATGTCATGCTCAGTGCATACGCTGTGAATGACTCTCAGCTACTACCAAAATTAATTTGACCTCAGATCTGTACAGTTTATAGCCATCATTGTGTTGGCTATTCTTGATCAGAAGTGGGGGCCGCTGTGAACTGGGCTGGCTCCAGAAGTTAACAGTTGTAGACAATTTTGGGGAGCACGGTGGCTTTGTGGTTGGCACTGTTACCTCACAGCAAGAAGGTCCTTGGTTCAATCCCTGGTTTGGACCTGGGGTCTTTCTGTGTGGAGTTTGCATGTTTTCCCCATGTTTGCGTGGGTTTTTGACCGGGTACTGTGGTCTCCTCCCACAGTCCAAAAACCTGCATGTTGGGCCGCCATCAGGACCAGAACCTCCTCTGCAACAAAGATCTGTGATCTCATGGCATTTGCCTGGTTAAATAAAGATTAATAGTAATAAAAATAAACAAGATGTACATTCAATGTTTACTTCCTGCAAGTTTTGTTAAAATCTATCCAGTGGTCCATGAGATATTTTGCTAACAGACAGGTAATGATGACGGGTGCTGTTTAAAGTAAGCAGGTCGGTACAGTCAGTGTTTTTTTGCAGAAGTGCGATTGAAACCAAAGAGATCGCTGTATGTGTGTGGGTCTGATGGGTTCTCCACACCCGGTTCTGTTGTTTGACCCCCCCCCCCCCCCCCCTCCACCCCAGCTGAGACCTCTCGGGTGTGAATATGAGCAGCTGTATGAAACCAGGAGCTTCGGCTCCATAAATGAGACGAGAGCGCTACGCTTTGATCCCTGAGTGAGAGAAGAGCGACGGTCGCCATGGTTACAGCATCCATTACTGTGCAGGTCTCAGTTCTTCCTGCTCCGACACAAAGCTTGTTAGTCCTGGTGGCGTTATTTATTTATTCCTTACGCGAGGGAATGCAGTTTAGACAGACGTCTGAACGCTGAAACAAACGGCTCCATCTTCTCTGGAAGCTTTGTGTCGTCACGTGACCTCCTCACGGCTTCTGTCTGCGTGACGCTGGGGGTCGACTTTTATTTAGTTTCTAAACTCTGCAGGCCACGATCTGTAAAGAAATACAGTTCTAACTTTCCTACAGTATAACCAGGTTGTATTTTGTTCAGACTGACGCTTGCTTCTCATGAGACATGAAGACAGAGGCTGCAGGGATAAAGAGACGTGAAGCTGTACAGAACCCAAACGCTCAGTCATGAACATGAACACATCTGAGGCGACACGTTCTGTTTTGTGGCCGTGAAGGTTTTTCAGGAAACATGAATAAATCAAAGGTCCAGCATTTCTTGAAGGAATGCATATCGCCCGCCTCCTGCCGTGCTGAATAAAGATGGAGCCGTTTGGGTGAAGATGTCCCCCTCAGAGTGCGTGTTGTGCATGACTCTCACCAAATGTTAGCACGAGATCTGTAAAGTTGACTCAGTTGCAGCTCTTTGGTGTTTTCTAAGGTCAGCTGAGTGTGGCGGCCATCTTGAACTGGATTGAATTGTACATCCGACTGTTTCCTGAAAGCTTCATTAAATCCTGTCCTGTGGTTCATGAGATATTTTGCTAACAGACACCTGAACACATGCACACAGCCCTTGAAAGCACATAGTATTCCCTGTCTGCAGCAAGCGGTGATGAATGAATGAATGAATGAATGAATGAATGAACAAAATTCTTGAAGCCGCAGCTTGTTTACAACAAAAAGATCTAAGATTAAAATGAAAACCAGTAAAATTACAAAAGATCAGATACAAAACATGTTTATTTTATAATCTATTCCACCAAATCAGCATTCATTTTTTTATTTATTTAAACACAATATATTGTTTTTTAATTTAAAATTTGATCAGCACGAGTTAACTCCGCTCCGATTTTCCACAGTCACTCTGTGAATCTGTGTTAATGTCAAAGTTCAAGAATAAAAACCGTAACAGGACTAGCTCTTAAATGCACGAAATGTGCAAATTTTAAGGTTCATAAAATAATTTCTTATAAGAAGTGGAATGACAAGAGATCAGAGCAGTTTATTTCTCGTCCAACGTTCATTTTATGTTACAAAACAACAAAAAAATGAACGTTTAAAGATACTTTTCTGAGATTTTCTTTGATCCCACGTCTCCTTCAGGCTCCTGACGTTTTACATATTTCCACAACGTGTCCTAATTACTCAACAAAGATCAACTCTGACACTTGTAATGTGTGTGCGAGAGAGCTCTTTAGAGCCTCAGCAGATCCAGAACGTTCTCTGTTTGGGTGCAGCGGAGGACTGATGGCACCAGATCTCCTGTAAGTGGAGGAGAATAAAATATGGCCGCCTCTTCTCGCCTCCCTGAGGAGCTCTGGAGGAGCTGCTTTGATGCATCGCCCTGCTCCTTCTTCACCACAAAGTTAATTTAAGATAACTGTTAACATTTACTGTCCTCGGCTGACAGATGTAGCAATAAAACAAGGCCACGATGTCTCTGTGAGACATTTAGTCTCATCCTGGAGTCTGGAAGTAGAAGAACAAAATGTGATTAGTTCACAATCGTTACTTTTCTTTAAATAAACTATGAAAAAACCCGTAATTTGAGGAGTTTTGCATTAGAAGAACAGTCTTGTTTGAAATCAGTTCAGATTATTGTTCTTGTTTCTCAGTGAAGTCACAATTATTAGAAGATCTGAAGAAACACAAAAGCCTCCTGTGCTGATGTTACAGATGTTTAGGAAGTGCTCACCTTTAGCATGTGAAACGCAAACTGTGCACGTAGTGCACTGATGTCGCTGAAGGATTTAAACGGTGAACGCTTTTAATGTTCGAGATGAGTGTTTTTCTGAACTAGAAATAAACAGAGAATGCAGGTAAACCTTAATGTTTGTGGTACAAGACATTAAAGCCGGTAGGAGTTAGTAAAATAGTGGCCTCGGCTCCCATAGATTAATCATGCATGCGATGATAACGCTTAGATTTCTCTTAGATGCAGCCGCACACTAAAAGGGACGACAGCATCTCGCTCATTTTCCAAGTTATCGTTCTCAATGGGTTTACATATTCACATATATGATGGCAGCCATCTTGGATTCTGACATGGCAACCCAATTTTTTAAAGGAACCTTTCTCACACAGCCACACACCAAAATGAAGTCAGTTCCTCACTTATCGTTCATGTTCTCCTGCTCACAATATGCACAGATGGATCGAGGGTATCCCCCCCCACCCCCGCTCCATGACAGTGGACAACAAATGACTCAGGAGGCTCAGAAGATGCTGAGATTTTCTAAAACCTCAGTGTTTTTAAACCATATCCAGTCTTAATGTTTTATATTTGACAGATTTTCACCTGAGAACAGTGTGTTTGTCAGTGTCCTTGTTAATATCAGTTTGTTTTTATGCCTCTTTTGTCAGGTTGCCTGTTTGAGAACGAGCTGTGCTCATCCTATGAGATGTGTGTCAACGGTAAGCTGTCTCGCCCACACGTGAAACACCGACCGAGTTACACAACACACAATGCAGCTCCACGTTTGGACTCCTACAGATGGTTAACGGGTGCAGCTCAGCAGGAAAACTAACACAGATTCACACTTTATAATCATTTAGACATCACCATTATTTAGATATTTTTTTTAAACCCCACAATAACGACTACTGAGCAGAACGTTCGTGTTATAATCCGAGCCGTTCTATTCTCAGTGGAACCTTCTTTAACACTTGTGGAATAATGAAGGAGAACAACCACAGAACGTTTGAGCAGAACCTGAATCTGTCGTCTGAACGAAGACGACGACTCCAGGCACTCAAGCTTCAGTCCATAGTGCCTTAATGTAGCTTCAAACGTTTGCAAAGAGCTAAAAATGTTCAACCAGAGTTTTACCAACAGCTTGTTGATGGTGCAGAACATTTACCAGAGCTTTGATGTGATATAACGATGATGATAAAATTATGTTGTTGAGACTGAAATCTTGACTGGGGGCTGATTTTGGAAAGTAATTTAATTATTACAACGACGTTTGCATCTTTGAGGAGTTCCTTTGGACTTCTGCCCAGCAGTGCATCACCAAAACAAATCTAAACTACAAGTTAAATATAACACTATGGTCCAAACGTTATATTTTAGCTTTATGAATGATGGCAGTCTGAGGAACGTTTGCTTGAGAAGCAGCTCAGAAAAGTTAAATGGCTGTTTCTTGTGCAGATGTGGTATCCTCTGGAGGAAGGGGATTTATATTTAGACACACTCAGCGTCTCTGAAGGAGCACGAGCGAGGAACTCCTGCCGAGGACTAACCTCAAATCAAACACCGAAGCTGTTCTGAAGAAGAACGGGGGGAAAGACATTTGTTTTAAATATGTGAAATGTTGTAAGCGGCCTAAATCTGTTTCTCTTCTGTTTTCAAATCATCAGGTTTTATTGGGAAGTTCTGATCTCTGCAGAGCAGAACTCCCTCATCAACGTGCAGCATCCGATCTGAAACGACTAAAGATAAACTAGAGGAGCTGCACTTCCTGTGAAAATGCAGTGTGAATGCTTGTTACGGAAGAACTTGCTGAAAAACAGCTAAAATTAGCTGAAAACCTGCTGAAATGAAAGAACCAGCCTAAGTTAGCATAAGAAAGCAGAAAAAACACGTTTGCTGAATTAAGTTTAAGAAGAAATTAGCACCAAAAAAAAGAGGAAATTAGCTAAAAATGCTGAAATAAGCAAAAAATAGCTGAAAAGTAGTTGAAAAGGCAGAAAAAAGCTGAAACTATCAGAAGGAAGTTGAAATGAGCTGAAAAAATGTGGAATTAGCTGAAAAAGTTAAATGTAAAACAAAACAACTAAAAAATAGCTGAAATAGCAGAAAAAGCTGAAACTAGTAGATAAAAGCTGAAATGCGCATAACAAGCTGAAATTAGCAGAAAGAAGTTATTTAGGCTGAAAATAGAAATTTTTACCAAGCTAAAATTAGCTAACAAATGCTACAACCAAGTAGCTGGAATTTTAGAGCAAGCTTAAATTAGCATATGAAAACAGAAAGAACACAAAAAGTGGAAATTATCTGAAAAGCTGAAATTAGCAAAAAAACTGCTGAAAAGTAGGTAAAACAGCAGAAAGAAGCTTAAATTACAAGACGGAAGTGGAGTGGACACATTTTTGCTGAATTAGGCTGAAAAAATTGAAATGAGTGCAAACAATGTGGTATTAGCTGAAAAAGCTAAAATTAGCATAAAACAGCTAAATAGTAACTGAAATAGTAGAAAAAGCTGAAACTTGCAAAAGAATAAGCTGAAATTAGCAGAAAAAGTTAGAAGCAGCACAAAAATGTTGTAGTTAGCAGAAAAAAATCTGAAATGAGATCAGGAGCTGGAAAAAAACAGCTGAAAGTAGCTGAAAAAAGTTTAGATTTGCAGAAAGAAGCTGAAAGAAGCTGAAGCAGAACAAAATGTGAACGGTCGTAAACAGATCTAAAGATGTGAAGGATGGAAAATGAGCTCAATTCATTTTCTATGAGAAAAAATGTCCGAAAAGGCTAAAATTTCAAAAAGCTAAAGTTGCACCAATACCCAAAGTCATAGCAGGATTTTCCTGAAAGAGCTGAACGTTTTGATTTATGATTTGTTGAAATAGATCGAAAACTGTGGGACGAGACTCACTCTGACAAATGTACGGAAGAAAAATGGATCACAACAGTGTGAATGCTTCAGAAGCATCGGATCAGTTTACTATAAAACGTTCCGCCATGCTAAAGATCAGCTGAATATGTTGGTTCGGTTGATTCTGGCTCGGTGTTTGCTTTTTTCAAATGCCGGGTGCTGTGAGTTTATTAGCCCTTTTAGCTGTGTCCTCATCAGGCGTTTCCCTCTGACGAAGACGGGCGGCGGGAGAAACGTGTCTTGTTTAGTGATAAAACCTCCAAAAAGGTTTATTTTAATTTTGATCCGAGCTCAGGCAGGCTTTCTGTCTGCGCTGCGGCTGCTGCAGCTGCAGCTGACCTTGTCTTACACTCGGCTTTTTGTTGCTCCCACATCGTTTAGTGTTGCTACTTCACTGCACATCGCTGAAATAATTCAGCAGACTCAAAGAGACAAAGTCGACTTGTTGCGTCTAAAGCCGTAGCTTGTCTGAAGGATGCACGTCGCCCACGGCCTTCCATGTGTTTCAACGTCATTACTGCAAACTGCTGCACTCGGAGTGCGTCTTGTGACTCACTCTTAAGTTTTATCGCATCACTTTAGCCACGACATTTGGAAAACAACTCAGGTGGAACCATTAGTGTGGTTTCTGACATCATCACTAGTCTTGACCTGAAGTTAATCAGTTGTAGACGTTCGTCCAAGCTTCGTTGTTTCCACGTTTATAAACTTTGTTACCGGCCGTCACCTTTTACAAAACAACTTTTAGAAACCGTCACACTAACTGTGGTAACCAGCGCCGATCTGTTAAAGAGCTTGGTCCAAGTTGCTGTTTAGTCCGTTTTATTTTGAAACACTGCCATTCTAGACTTTTTTTTTTTGCTTCCTGCTTTACTTTGAAATCTTTATTTTACCCGACAGTTACACTGGAAATAGTTTTGCTTTCCGTTTATTTCACACCTGTTTTCAGGTAACCATCACTTTCCTTCTGCACTTCCTCTGCCTCCTTTAGATTAGTTTATTGATCAGTGAAGTGATCAATAAACTGTTTTTAATCCGTCTTCTCCCCATTGCTCACTTTGCCTCAGTGACTCATGTTGAATCTTCAGTCATGTTGTGCCTAAAGAAGCCTCCATTTTGGATTTTTATTTGTATTTTCATTCATCTCACGGTAGAGCGAAGTATAAAAGCAGCTTCTCGTGTGTCTGTCGTGGATCATTTATTCACTAACTCCCCTTTAAACAGCTCGAACAGTCAGGTAAGGACACACTAAAGAGGAAAGCTAACATTTTGTCCTCGTGGTTTGTTAAAAAAGCTTTTAAAATGTTAGAATTGATAAAACTGGAAAACAAGCGGCTGCTGTTCATTTTACTAAAATGTGTGCAGTGGTTTTAAGATTAAACTCTACGTGACAAAAACTTTGATTAGTTCCTAAATGTGCCTGGACTCTTTGGTTTCTGCAGGAGTCCTCTAACCTCATCTCATCCTTGATCGTCATCGGTCCAAAAAGATTTCAGCCTTGCTTGTGTTTGCATGATTTGAAGAGTTTATATGAAAGTAATTTATGCAGACTTTGCTTTGAGTCTGAACTTCAGAGGAATAAAAAGGCTCCTGTCAGGTGAGGCTCCACCGATGGCTGCATCTGTCATGGGGAGGTGGAGAAGCTGCGGTGGGTGCACCTCCATTGTTCTCCTCCCAGCGTGTCTGACAATGCCACTTTGTTGCGCTGCTGATTGGCAGCTCAGGATCTCTCAGGTTACACAGCAGCGCCGAGGACCTGAGCTCTGTTCTCCAGTCGGGAGTAAAACCAGGGACTGACCACTTTATTTATTCATGTGCAGTTTTTCCAGAGCTTTAAGGAATGTTTTGATTTTTGGATACAAGTTTGAGCAGTTAGTATCTTACCTGCAGCTGACAGAGCCGTCTCAACTTGGCCAATCAGTTTGGAGTTTTATGAGTCAGTCCAAGGCTGGAAACATGGTTGTGTTCATGCTTTCCACGTGAGCGTAGGCAAACAGTACTTTATTTTAGTTTCAGCTGCACCACAACGTCCCACTCAAAGGTCACCATCACCTAAAAACATGCACTGACTGGTCAACTGTCTGCTCAAACTGGGACTTTGAGCAATTAATTTTTTTTGCTCACCAATGAGTTTTTCTGTCCTTTTGGTCCGCAATTAATAAATCATCCAAACGTAGATGAATGCGCCGGTCGATTTCTTCTTCCTCTAAATCATCCACTTCATGTCCAGCTGTTGATGCTTTTGTCTCCCGTCGTAGAGCGAAGAGATTGGAATTGGAAACACCCTCTGTCTGTTCATCCATCTGTGGAAGTTATGAGCACGATAACTTGAAAAGTAAATGTGGTATCAACATCCAGTTTGGTTTGATGCTACTTCTCTGGATAAGAAAGGTCTCTATAGGAAACTGGGTTGCTATGTCAAAATCCAAGATGGCCACCACCATATATATATACCCTTATCATTGGAGGAATCTACATGTTCTAATTTTTATGTTTTTAAATGTGTCGTTTCCTCACATGACGGGGTGGCTGAAGATTAATCTATGATGGCGAAGGCCACCATTGGCCACCCCCTGGCTCTGCCGTTGTGCCTGGCGGTGGATAAAATTTGTTCCCTCCACTCGCCAGGACCTGTCACTCTGCTCTGCCTCAGGCAAGCAAAAAAAAAAAAAAAGAACAACAATCAAAAAACCTACCTCTCTTTTCTCCAAGGTGTAACTCCTCTTGAATATCTTGCACCGTTCCCTGTTCAAGTCCAGTCCAGAAAAGACACTAATCTCAAAAACTGCAAACCCTCTCTATTCTAATCCCTGTGCGATGGGG